AATCAGTCGATGCACCATGTAAAGAGCACGGGAGGTGGCAGGGTGTCTTGAGGCCGACAAGCCAGAGATGCGCCTGCCCGAAACCAGACGCAGAGAGTTAGCGGTGCCGCAGTCGACCAAAAGAGTCGATCGTGTGCACGAAAGAATTGCGATGGACGCAGGTCTTCGAACCCTAGAGCTCGGTGGTGTCAATTCACCATAAATCCCCCGAAAGGAGGAACAACCCCGCCCACCACGATTATCTGACACCCGAAGGGTCTCGGTTGAAGCCAAACGCCGTAGGGTTGTACTTCATAAACAATGCAATATCCCCGAGAAAACGGGGATAGTGTACAGAATATCTATCGCGACAGCGAAAGAGGATATGCTGGCGAGACTGCAAGGCAGCCCTGCAAGTGCAGCCATGAGGCTCATTGATCTTGAAGCGACAGTAATACGCTCCAATGGGCGCGTGGCCAGTTATATCCGGCAAACGGGTAAGATACTGTGTCCGAATGTTGAGAGCCAAGGTCCCCCATTGAGGTACGATGGCTGTAGCAGCCGCCCGTCAGGCTGTTGAAGCTCTAAAAACTCAGAGCCTCGGTAAGTTGGATCCTGGAAAGTGGAACTCCACGAATCCAGGACTGAGTGCGCCGCTCGAGAGCGTAGCGCGTCTATAGAGTTGTCCGTCTTGCGACGTCCAACCCTGACTTTGAGCTCGGTGACGTACTTGTGTGCTTCACCATGAATATCCCACCGCGTACAACTTTGTGTTGCATCTGCTGCTTTGGGAGTTCATTTTGCATATCTTTGCACCTACTGCTCGGAATCTCATCCGGTCTTTTGCAATCTCTTCAGAGTGCTCATAGGTACTTATATACAAAGTTTGGTAATTTTGAACAAGTCTGAGGTAGTCATTTTAATTATTTTCGTGTTTTTTGCGCATTTTTAGCTCTTTCTCTAATACCATTTCCCCCAGGCATCGGAGCCTCATCCATCACTGCTGAAATATGCTAAGGGACATTAACTTAACTCGAACTCACCATTGGATGGGTGTGATATGTGGATTTGGTAAGTATATGTGGGGGACTACCTC